AGGTGGCAGGGCGTGGTGCTGTCAATACCACCTCCGTGTGTGCTGGGCTGGCGTGAATGAATAACATTGGTTTATAGAGCAAAGTAGGGGATCTTTGCGTGTATAAGAATATAACCCTATATTTCAATAACAAATGCCCTTATTATGCAAATACATACCATTGTGACTGAGTGACTGATGTGATTTATAATGTTTCAGAAGGGCTAGAAATATGTTTTTGGCACGGCGATACTGTAGCGGAGTCTATGCTAATAAGTCAGCATACTTTTATATATTGTGATAAACACTGAACAATTGATGATCACGATCAATGGCAAAGCAAGTAATGTGTCTCTTTTGGATCGTGACATGAGAGCAGATAGAAAACGGTCAAAGTTGTTCTACTGCTTAACCTTACATTCGTGTTTGTGAGAACCCTGTATACGTACACGCGCGCACACACGTACGCACCCAATCTAACCTGATGGTCAGCTGTCAAACTCCAAGTGCTTCTATTGTAGCACCCAACAAACACTGCTGAGTGTTTATATTTCACATTTCATTTTTTGACAGCAGAACAGTAGGTCGAGATTGTGTTCACAAACAGGACATTCTCGAACCTGCTGTATTTATTCGTTAATATGCCTACCGAGACACATGGATGCATCGAGCTGATGAATTTGATTTTGTTAGAAAATGCCATGCATAGCTCAGAGCTGGTGATTGTCCCAAACATTTATTTTGGCAGCGTCCCCGTGGCAAATTCTAAATCTTCATTGTTAATAATTTTTTTGGTGAGTGCAGGAGTTGGAGGGGGGGGGGGGAATTGCTAGAAATTACAAAATTCACAAAGGAGAATTGCGGCCGAGGTTATTTATGAATAAATTTGAGCTTGGAGGTGTGGTCCATTTACAGGTATGCATCTATCTCCCGCTTGTTTTAACCCTCCCCCAACACCGCGGTGGGGTAGCAGCCTGAGTGAACAAAAGCCCTGAGGTGTGCAACCCAAGCTAATGGAGGAGGAGGAGGGGGGGGGGAGATGCAGGAAGCTCATCCACTCAGCCAGGCCAAATCATTTCCTCTCTCCCCACACACACACACACAGACACTCCGAGATCCCCTTTCAGCAACAGTCTGTTTGTCTAACCCTTCCAGCCATTTATCCACCCGCCTGGGAAAGGAAGCTGAGGTATCAGCCCGTGGTGTCACCAGTTCCCTCTGAGCCATCCATCAAACTCAGCTGTCTTATGGCTGTGGTCACATGCAAGCGGTCTGAACCTTACAGTCACATTTTGCTTTGAAATCTTGTGGCGCTCGCCGCGTGCCCATTATCGCACATCTATCGTGCTGTCTGGGAGCTGCTAAAACAAGCCCCATCGCCTGACCTGTAGCTTCCTATTGAAAGGCCCCTACGGCAGTTTTTGAGGCCACAGCTCAGGACTCGGGTTACTTGGCTGGCAAGAGTGGCCCGCTGCGGCTAAAAGCACCGGTGCATCGGGCGTGCTGGATGCAGGTGTCGATGAGCCGAACGCCTTCATGATTTACGTTCCTCTTCCAACGGGGGGTAAACAAAAAGTCTCACTAGCTTCGCCACTGGCTTTTCCACGTTACTCATCGCAGCTCTCCCTCCCCCCCAGGACCTTTCGTGATGGGGCAACCGGTAGAAAATCGACGTGCTCGCGATGACAGCCGCATTTTCGTCTCTCTCCGTCTCGCGAAGGTGGAGCACCGAAATATTTTCGCGGTGATGCTGACCGGCGGTGACACCTCGTTGCCTTGCGATGTTTTTTTTTGATATGCACGAGTACTTACCCGCGTTCATCTCAGGCGCGGCACGGCATTTATCTTGGGCCCCTTTGAGGATATCACGCACTTCCTGCGGTTTAGGGACTAATCTGTACCCACCTGGGCATTAGTGTGTCCCTCAACCCTTTCATTAAGTCCTCCTGGGCCACATTCAATGAAGATGGGATTTCTTTTTTTGGAGGATCAGCCTCTAAGTGCAGCCCGAAGCCCTTCCAAGGGATTAGCATCTACGAGGCCTAATCTTCACTGATATTTTAATTAAGGAAACAGGCCAGAGACTTAGTATGTTCATCAGCACTGACACTGAGCCGAGGGGTATGTCAAGGGTTAATCCCTGCAGCCGAAATCCAATGTAGCGATATGCAAATGCTACAACTATTTTTGTAATAACATTTTCCGGATAACTCGTTAAGGTTTTGGCGGGCGCAGGACAAACAAAATCTGGCCAAACTAAATGTTTGTGGAATGACTATTAATATGGCACATTCGAAGGGGATGCGAATATTGCTTCTTATAATGTGGAGAGACGCCTGCATCTCTATTAGTATGATGTCAGATTCTTGATACATGATATTGTCTCTTTTCGTTCAATACCTTTGTGGTGTGACAAAATGTGCTCCAAAAATGTAATGAGAAACGATTATTTTCTGGAAATATTTCAACAAAATAATGAACGCAATTTTGTTTTTTTAATACATTGTATTACCAATTAAGTTAGTGCACTAGAAAGTATATTGCGGAGTTACTGCTGACTCAGAGGTTGGCATTATTCTCATAGGTCGTTTATTTAGTTCCGTATTATATAACCCACGTGCATTTCCAGAACGGTAGATGATACAGTTTCAGTGATTGAAAGACCTATGGCAGACTTGTGTTGAGTTGAATAACATTTTTCGTAATCTTTATTCATATGGGAAGATCAGAAAAACACAAAAACACTACAATGATAATTCAAAATACATTTACAAAGTTATGAAAACCAATATCACGATAATCGTCTTGTCGTGAATTATAATATCGAATTGTAAAAATGTTTAATTGTGGGCAACACGAATGTAATCTTCAATCCATGGAGGTCGTTTACCCATACTTCACCTTGCTGGACAATGTGAGTGGGTGGATGGGGACAGTCCATGGACCGGTTCATATATCACTCGTCACTGACGAAAGCCGTGGCAGAGAATCGAACGCAGATTGCCGAGTTCATATTGTGTGTATGTTGAACTTCTTTCGCACCGTACGTAGCCAACCGTGCTCATCGAAACATTCTAACCATGACTCCACCGCTCCCATGTGCTCCAGACTTAAATAAGTATCTCAACATTGGTTTGTTTGGCTATGATACGCAAGCGACTACAATGATTGGTAATGTTACGTGCGTTTTCATATCTGCGTGTGTTTTTTGGAGGAATACATTCTGAATGTGACGTAGAAATGTATCATTGTTGCGTATGAAAGGAACAAATAGTGTGAAAACATCTAAGTCGTATTTTTTACTCTGCGTGTGCAATGTGTTCTCGTGGACACATTGTTATTTTAATCAATTACCATCGAGACTTTCAAGTATATAAATCTAATTATGTTTCAATGATGGCATTGTTATTGTACCACTTAATAATCATAAGCGGCTCGTGGAAATTACACGTTTTAGGTCAACATACTTTAAAGTAAAATAAAAAAAATCATAGGGCCACGTTGTACACCATGAACAGCAATTTATTTTTGTCATGATATAACAAGAACATTCACACTTTGATTTGATTTTTAAACGGTATTATTTGTAGACATGCTTTTGCCATGTAATGTAATACAACTGTCAAGATGAAATGTGCGTGTCAAGAAAAAAGGGGGCTTGATGCGTGAGTAAAGATGATATGAAGGTAATGTTATCCTTTAAGCGGCGTTTGATTTTTAATTTGTAAAATGCTGTCATGGGCAATGTCCCTCTGCGTAATGAATGCGCAAAGAGCGTGCTGAGTAAAACGACGGTGTTATTTGAGCCCTGAGCTAAAATTCCTCTGTACATTTGAACTGCATTTTAAAACAAACTTTAGTGTATGGGGAAAAGGCATTGGGATTCATCATCACTTGTATACAATGTAAATTAGGAAGCGTTGTACTTTATTGAAAAGTGAATCACTGTAATGGTTTCCACTGGCTATTGTGCATATCTTCTATTGCAAGTATCCTGTTTACCTTATTACTAGATTTATGGAATTTTAAGATCGTAACTTAGCACAGTTGTACAATTAAAGCATTTACGCAAGTTCACAACCTTTAATGGGTTTAATATTTTGAATGTTTCACAACCTTGAGATTGTAATCACGAATGTGGCTTACGTTGAACATTAAATCAAGTAAAAACTCTCACCAATATATCCCAAATAAAAGGTGTAATCGGTGATTACCGTGAGCAAGTCATTTTGCTACCACTGGAGGCGATTATTCACAATGCGAAGACGTGGAGAAATCGATAGTTGGTTAATTTCCTTGCTACTTATAACGCTATCAATTACCACTTTTCATGGACCTCTGAAAGTACTGCATTTTTATAATATAGTTAATATTGCAGTAATTGTCAAAGTGATTGATTCCTTTATGTACGTGTAGATTTTTTAAATAAAAATGTCGGTCACTGGAAATGTTCCAAAAGTTTAATTGCAGATATTTTGGACAGCAATATTGTCATCCTTTTCAACAATAATCTTATATTTTTGCACACATTTAGTGGATTATCTTGGGCGTATTTTGTGCGATCCGTTGAGAATTGGTTATAATGATGACACGGTCAAGTTTTACACGATTTTTTTAAAACTCTAATTCTTTATTACAGTCCATGCTTGAAGAATAACTATATTTACATATTTTGTAATGTGAGGGTAAATACACCATTTAAGTGAAAACAGTATTCCCGACTGCAGAAAACGAATTCAATGATTTCCATCCATGACGTGCATGCAGCATATCGGTACAGTGTCATTTCCTGGACAAAATAAACAATATTCTTACTCTTCTCAAAATAAATTAAGCATCGAAATATACACACGTTAATTTGTTCAACTAAAACGGCACTTTTTTTTATACACATCCGTGCCAATATTCTGCGTTGACAAATATGCCATCAAGTTTCATTAGGCTATTTACATCTACAATTAAACAGAAGTTTAATCGGCATTTCGACGCTTGCACGCAAGCACATGATTCAGGGTTTTATCTTCTTCTTCCATTCCCCAGCACAACAAATCGGCACCATTTTAGACTTCGGTTCCGTCTCTCTGGTAGATGATATTGTTTACGCTGAAGCTGTATATTTGATTGTTGCTGACGCTTTGGCTCGCCGGGCTCGACTGGAAGTAACCCATGCGGAGCTGCGCTGACGTGCCCGACGGCGGAGGGATGTCCATGATGCTGGGGATGGGCATCATGCTCTGGTTGCCCCCGGCCCCCGGAGGGGAGAACTGACCGAGTCCCAGCGGCGAGTACGGAGCGGTGAGCGCCGACGAGAGGCCTTGCTGCAGCCTCCTGGGCGACGCTTCGTCTCCCATGGGCACCCCGGCACCGAGCGGGCGATGATCCATGCCCCCGTCGTAGCTCGGCACCATCGAGTTCATGCTGCTCATGAAGTTGTTGAAGCAGGGCGACGAAGTGATGAGCGACGGCGGGGGAGGTTGGGGAGATGCTTTAGACTCGCCGTCCGAGCCCGGCGAGCTGGTGAGGCCAGAGGGGGAGGCCTCCATGCCGTCTTTGGTGATGTCCGTCGCCTTGATGTCATCTCCCTTGTCCAGCGCGGTGCCGTTGGGAGACATGTCAGACTTGCGCTTCCTCTTCCTTCGGAAGTTGCCGTTGTCGAACATCTTCTCGCAGTTGGGATCCAGGATCCAGTAATTGCCTTTGCCTGGTGAATTGAATGGAAAGTACAAAGTGGAGTCACGAATTTGTCGAGTTCGTAATTGATTGTGTTGTTGGAAATCTACTGCAGTCATCGTGCACAGTGAATATTCTCGAGTTTAACATGTCAGGAAAAATTGTAACTATTTTACACATTTTTTTTACAACCCTGCATGTCAGTTGTGAGTCATTAAACATACTCAAAAACTATAACATTTCACAATTATAAGTAAATGGGGTCAGTTCAGAAAAAAAATCGCATGACAAAAATATATATTCTTGTTTTTACCAGCGAATATCTTAATTACTAAATGTTGAGATATCCTAATTTATTACACACTGGCATAAATGACAAATTATTGTACGTAGTATAAATTACTTGGATTTTATTTTATACGATGCAACAATTATAGCGACGACAACATGGTGATAGTAGATTTGCACTGTGAATATTATAACAACAACAACAACAACAACAATAACCCATGGCTCTATTAAATTGCATATGTAATGTAGAAATAAACAAAAGCCCACAGCAAAAATTTTTTTTTGTAAACGGAGCAGCACCATTACCTGGGTCATCGTCATCTCTGGGCACTTTCTTGAAGCAGTCGTTGAGCGAGAGGTTGTGACGAATGGAGTTCTGCCAGCCGGCCTTGCTCTTCTTGTAGAAGGGGTAGTTCTCGGCCACGTATTGGTAAATCTGGCTGAGCGTCAGCCTCTTCTCCGGCGTGTGCTGGATGGCCATGGCGATGAGTGCCGAGTACGAGTACGGTGGCCGCACCAGCCTGAAGAAGTCTTGCTGCCCCTGGTAGGACAGCCACGGGTTCATCTCGGCTCCCGCCCCGTAGCCCGGGCTCTGCGATGGCAGGAACTGCCTCTGGTTGGCACCGTAGTTGCACGGCTGCACGTACGACGGAGGGCTGCTGCCCACGTACGTGGGGCCGTTGAGCCACAGGTACGGGTTGCTGGCGGGTGGCGAGTAGTCGCCGTAGCTCGACGACTGGTAGCTGGGAGGACGCAGCGCGTTGGGCTGGTGGTGGTGGCCGCCGCCTCCACCGCCCAGGTTGTCGCAGTAGACCACCATGTCCAGGAGGTCGTGGGCGCTATGCCCCGAAGTGGGCAGCATGGGGCCCGGAGACTGCTGCGAGCTGTGCGGTACGAAGGCGTTCATCGTTGTGGCTCTGCCTGCTCTTTGGTTCCTTATCTCCGTGCCTGGGGATTTTCTAAAGGTGCCGCTGTTACCTGAGCTGAGCTCGCCGGGCGAAGCGAGTGAGTTGGCTGCGGCGGGGGCTGCGATTTAAATAATCAGGGCACATAGCCTCGGGTGAAAAACCTGGGAAACTGGACTAGACCTGGTCCATTAGCCAGTGCAAGCCGGGTGCTGCATAGTGGAAAAAAAAGAAGAGAAGAGAGAAGACTGAAAAATAAAGCTAAGAGACAAGCAAAAAAAAACCCTTTGATTTCTTTGTGAACTTACAGTTTCGTAATAATGTTGTGCGTAAGTTGCCGCAATGCTTTTTTCTTCTTTCACAATGTTAAGTGGGAACTAAAAGTTATTTTTGACGATTTTTTTCCAAAAAGTGCCTCTTCCGGACTGGGTTGTTATTTTGTTTTCATAAACAAATGCTGCCCATTGTTTCGTCGTAGAACGGTTAACTGTTACGTTATAGTATTGCTCTATTGACAATAATTGCACAATGTGCACAAGTACTTGTTGTGAAGTGGGGCTTTAAGTATGAACAAGGACAGTCTCAAGATGTTTATTGGTACTATCTTTTTTTTAAAATCGTGAATGACACCCACATTCACGCCTATTACTTTCTGAGTAAGGAAGGACTATTTGAAAATGTGCATAGAGTTATTTTGTTTTAACCGTATTCTCTTTGAAACCTTTGTGGGCAACCATTTTATTCATTTGGCCAGTTTTTGTTTTGCTTATAAGGTAGGTCCATAATAGCAACGTCACTTTTCTCTCGGAAATTAAGTGTCCAAGGGTTATGGCTTTTCCAAAGCATTATTTAGGGAATATTACGTACGATCAAAAACTGGCAACATTAGAATGGCTTAAGATGTCACCAATAATAGTGACAATGATGTTAAATGCCAAGATATCCAGCTGCTTAATTTGTATAACCTTTGAAAGTAAAAAAAAAGTCATGGAAACTTACAGCCTTAAATTACACGTGGATATTGCTTATTAAAATAAAATAATTTACCATTCCTCAGTCACGAGGATTGTTTGACCATACTTCACCCTGCTGGTTATTGCCTTGGATTGGGTCAAATATCACCTGCCACTGATGTTAGCTGTTGACCAAATGTTTAGCTCAGGTTTCCAGCACATTGTGCTCACCACTGTGCCACCACTCCACCCCAAATCTTATTTTTTTATTTTAAAATAGTTTACATTAACTGTGACTCGTAACATCGGCTAGCAAACTATGTAGGATTTGATTATTGTTTTTTTACCCTTCTATCTGGCAACAAAACTGACATCTTTTTTTACAAGGAGTCATGTTTACATAGACCACAATACCTGTAGGATTTGTATTTGTTAAAAATGCGTATTATAACCCATACCATAAAAAATATAGTACACCTAGATTTCCTCCAGATTTAAATTAACTGAAGTCTTATGACTGGCATTTTAAATACGCATACTTTACACATTTCAACAGTTAACTTTGCCGTATAACAAATATAAAAAAAAACATAAAGTTATCGTGATAGATTTTTAATGATTTTTTTTTACTAGTGTTAGTGAGCATCGTATACATAACTAAATACATTTCCCAAGTGTGCAAAAGTATCCAAAATACGCTTCAGAGGGGCTCTCCCAGAGCTCCCTCAAGCGGGGGGCCCTTCTGCCAGCAGTGACGTGAGCAAAGCATTTGCGGGGCTGCACATTTACCTTGTACACAATTTGTCATTCCAATTGCGAGTGTAACGTTTCTGAAAACGTCCATGATCTGTGTTGATGAACGGTCTGCTGATGGAATAATATTGGTTTTTGTTCGTTCTTTACTTAAAGTCATTGTATCTGCAATTATTCCATCGCCGTGTCTGCACATATTTATGTTTTTTGGTAAATATGTTAGACAATAGCTCTGTATATTGAGTGCCTGCAATACAGTCGTCAATAATTATCCCTTGTCACTTGATCATTCGACAATGCTTTTCGTGCAAAGCATAACATTCTGCCCTCTGCTGGCAAATGTTGTCAATGTGTCGTAATATGTGCCTAATGTCACGCGGTTCAATACGTTTTATTATGCTGGATGAAGTAATTCAATGCGGCAATAATAGTGATGTGGTATCAATATTTTGTAATTGTGCGCTAAGAAAGATTGATTTCTGTAGATGTGTTACTGTATCCACTCGTGTGTTGAGAAAACAAACAGTAATTCAATATTTCACAGGAGCCACTTGTATGCACAGGCCTGCAGACGTGTTTAATTATACCTCTCAATGTGGCATATTGAAACATTACAAGATGCATTGTGCCTTTGGTTATCCATTGTGGTTCACCAGCGTAACAAGTTATTTGTTCGAGAACAGGAGCCAGTCTGAATTGTTGATAGTGATACAATAAACGTTGCAGCCCTTTCTAAATACGTTGTTGGGTGAAGGAGGCCTTAATGAAGGAGGCCTTCATCCAACAATGTATGTCATGTCGGTCATGGGGTTTGTTTTTCCATACTTCACCATACTGAGCAGTGTGGGATGGTAAAGGGGATAAGGTGGTAGGCTCAGAATGATGGGTACAAATATCACTTGCCACTGATGTTAGCTGTGGCTGGTGCTCTAACCGCTCGCTATACCACTGCTCCACCCTCTATATTTGATGTTTATGTTGAATAGATGATACGGTTTCAAGAAAAAAAATGTTACACAATGGATATGTATGTGCTGCAATGTTGTTTATTTTCTTTATATATATAAAGGATTATTTCCACCTTCGTTTTGCATTTCATCAAATGTACCCTAACGTTGCTGTTGGTGTTGTCTCAAGATGATCCAGCGGAGTTGCTTCTGAAATCTCACCAAGTGACACTGGGGACGTCACTTTCTCAGCTGCCTTGCTAACAACATAAATGTTTATCAGATGGCAAAATGTAGCCAATTTTCCAAATAAAATTTGATCTGATATTTTGTGCGTGTAGTTATTGATCACCGGGTCAAGATCATTAAACCATTTTCCTCCAAAACCCAATTTCAACAATATTTTAACCCAGGATCTCAGTGGTGTATCTTTAATAATTGTTTATAAATTTTGATTGCATGTGCTCTCTCCTGTCGTTGCGACGCTATCAATATTTATCGCCACATTGGCTTGTGCAGATGTCTCAGTGTTGGTGGCACGTTCTGGAATTGTATTGTATTTGCTCTGAGTGGACGAGTTAAAAACATTGCTGCTGTTGCGAATGTTATTGGACAACACCAATAAAACACCACTAAGGATGCAAATGTCAGTGAACACTCTTATTCATGCGATCATTTTCTGTCGGTGCAGTTCTGGCAATATGAATTACAGGGTCATAGAACTGATTTTCATACTGCTTAAAAGAAATGTGGTTTTGTATTGTGCTACTACTTTTTTTTTAAAACGACCGCATAGATGAAGCATTGGTTTACTTTTAGAACCGAGTGGACAAATAACTTGAGCAGGTGGTGATACATTTAATGGACAGTAATTGCCCCTTTTGTTATTTAGGTTTATTGAACACATCTAACGTTTGTGTGCAATATGAAATTGTGTGCAAACAACAAAAAACGCACTTGGCAAGATTGTATAAATCATGTGGCTATAAACACAATTAATGTAAACAAATACAGCTGCAATTCTTTTGTTTTCAACACCTGCAAATATTAACCACGTCGAACCCATTTCACACTTATGTATATTATTTACTATCGGACTGATGTGCATTTTCAAGAAGATGTTTCAGGTTAAACGTTCTCGCAAGACGCATTTTAAGGTAGTTACATAAATTTGGTGTTGTTTTATTGTGCGTGGTAAAATTACCCCATTCAAATTAAATTTCACACAAAAAATGTCGTGTTTTTTTTAAAAACACGTTTTCCAAACATTATCTCGTTGTCTGTTTATAAGGTGTGTTTATAAAGTCTTCAAGGATTGCCTCACCTCGGCGAGGTGTGGCGAACTCAGAAATGTGATTTCATGATTTTCATTGACTTCATACATCTTAAAAAAACGAAATGTTATGGTTTAAGGGAATAGATAGACATAACCTACCAAAAACTCAAGTTTGGTAAATAATCGTTATCCATTGTATTCATTGTTATGTCATTGGAAAATTGTGCTTCTCTTATTTTAAATGTGGGTAGGACAGCAGCTTGTATGTTACACTGTGAACCACATGCCCCAAGTTCGTGTCCCAGCCGTGGACAACACGAGCAGTGAGCGATGTCTAAACCAGTCCTGCGCTCGGCACACCACCCTCCCACCAACTACGCTGACCAACGTGGTGAAATATGGTAAATACAAAATGCATGACCGACACACACTCATCGGTGGACTGAGTAGCTTGAATTTATGACTCATTCTTGTATACCAGTAGGTCGAAAATAAGAGGCAGCTACTGTTTTTATACTGTTCTCACAGTCCTGCACTTGCAGTACAAAGTATATATATTCTAGGATTTTAAGAATGTTCGGGTGAAAAAAATCGATTAATAGGAGCACAAATTGTAAATATAAATGCATTTTAAATGAACCGTGGTCAATATTCTGTGTCCGTTACTCCCACCTCCTCGGTGCCGCTATCTATTAAATGTCTTCCAAAATTATTCTTCCGCCGTTCCAATTGAATGCAACGTTTATTTATTACACGGATAAATCCCGTTAAGCCAGCCACCCAGTTAGTTTTGATGACAAAGCACTAACAATCAAGTTCTTGTTGGTATGGAAAGGAGCCCAGCCAGCAGCCAGCCAGGAAACTCGATACATATATTTTTTGTTTATCGAAGTATGATAATTATAATCCATATATAATTAGACTTTCCCATGAGTCTTTGGCGAGGTTTAGTTTGTGCAAGAAAAGTCTCATCACGGTGGGAGGCTTTTTTTTTGGGCGGTGAACGTGGTTGTCTTCAGCATCCTCACGAATGGAATTGAGTTGTTCACTTCTCACCCAGGTCGAACACTCCACCTGCAAAGCGGAGGTTTTCCTTCTGCGTTGGAACTTGTAGGGCCGTGCATCTGCGCGTGTGTCTCTAAACACAGTGAGGAGTGGTGGCTTAGCGGTTAGCGCCGGTGCGCTACGAATCCGGCGACACGAGTTCGATTCCCGCTCACGCTCAACCCTGGCGATGAACATCTGAACCTGCCCTAGGTCGACTCAGTCTGAAATGAGTACCTGGTGTGATGTGTAAACATCGCCACTGGGGAGACAAAGGCTGTCGGGCGTCGTGCCGACAACCCACCCCCTCGTGTGCTGTGTCGGCCTTCATAGGTGCTACTCGCTAACAGCACTTGCCCCAACAGTTTGTTTAGGCTATACGGGGGATCTTTGTCTTTGTAAATACGCGTGTACACGCGGTAACATTCTTCATCATGCTGTGTATTCGTATGTGTAGGGGTTTTTTTGCCAGAGGGTGGAACATTGATAATTGTTTTGTTTTGTGTTGATTTGACGTCTCGGCAGTACACCTGTGCCCGTGTGTTGTCACCCTGACGTGGCCATGGTGAGAGTGGTATTGCTCTGACTCTTGTTTTACATTGGCAGCCAACAAAACTCTTGAAGGATTGGCTCAAATTACCTTGCATTGTTGCTCGAATAGTTGTGTATTCCAGAATAACAGATCAACTAATCTTCCACTTTCATATGCATGTTGAGCAAGAATGCATTAGTTACGTGCAGCTCACCGAACCGAACAATACATATCTCATTTATATTGTA